TCCTCTTTCCTCTCCGGGGAGGCCGGGGCGTGGATTCGTGATCTCTATCGAGGAGGTTGCTGGCATTGTATCGCGGTGCTCCTCGCCCTTCGCGAGCCTGGCGTCGTCGTGCAAGCATGGTGCGCTTCCGGTTGTGGCCTTGTTGACCAGGGCGGGTCACCATCGAGTAGGTGGGCGAGGAGGGCGCCTTTTCGCTCTGAATCCGGTGGGCTAGCTTGGAAAGATCCCCGGCACTCCAGGCAGGCAGGCGAGAGTCGCCTTTGCCGCCTGCCTTGTCTCCCACCCATGGCCCATGGAGGCTGCTGGGTGCCAGTTCGAATCGTTCCTTGCCACCTTGTCCCCTGGGTGGTCCCCTCGAGCTGACAGTGGGGAGGGGGCTCTCGGAGGCCCAGCCCCTCGCCTGCCCCCCCCCCAAGTCGTTTTGGGCTGGAAGAAAGAGTCTGGGTTTGTGGTCCAGAACCTTCAAAGCTTTTCCAGGTATTGAGTGTTCAAGGCAGATGAGCAACTCCTGCAGCCCTTGCTTGTGCGGCTGATGATGTGCGATCTTTTCTCGTAGGCAGCAGTCCCGAGGCGGGGAGCCAAAAGCTAATCAGAAATGACTTGGGAATCCGGAACGGCCTTCTTGGCGTTGCAGGCTGAGGAAGAAAAGATGTCCTGCCCTACCGAAGGCCTTGGGAGGATCATCCAAGTCCTAGTTTTAGGCTTTCTTTCGTAGTGGCGCTGTTATGGGCTATGAAGTCGGAACCAACTAAGGACGAGCCTGATGGGCTTTTTTTCCCCAGGTAAGTGAGATTTTTAAAGAGCAGTTTTACCAGTTCCACACACCCCAGGGAGCTTCCATGGCTCAGTGGAAATTCAAACCCAGGCCTCATGTGTCTATCACTCTATCCCTGACCTCACACTTGAAATCCTCACAGTGGCATTAGGGAGGCTTTAAAAGGCTTTTCTTGGGAAAGGGTGCCAAGTCACTGCAATGTAGTGGTTGGAGTTTGTGTTGGGAGTGGGAGAGTCCTCGGCCCTTCCACCACCCATGAGACTCCCTTGAGCCTGGCAGTCTCCCCCTCAGCCTCTCTACTCCTCACAGTGTTGTATGGGGTAAACTGGAGAGAAGATTCTTGAATCACCTAAAGTTCAGTGAGGGAAAATGTAAGGTAGGATTGTAATATATGTTACCAGTACACTTTGTTCTGCATGATGCTACTTGGAAACCACCTGCTTGTATGTATTACATTTATATCCCACTTTTCTTTTAAGGAACATGAGGTGACAATTGTATTCCTCTGGGTTTCTATCCTCATGTGGGACCCTGTGAGGTAGATTAGCTGGGAGGTGCTGACTGGTTGGAAGAAGGACTTAAGCTGAGTTTCTTGCTTTAAGAGAAACTTGGTCTTCAACTTTTTTAAATGATAAAGGATTTCTGCTCAGTCACCAGGGGAGAAAGCTGATTGGATCTGATGTGTCCTTCTCCATTAAAGTTGTAGGATCACCATAGAAAGGTTGTGTTAAGAAATGGAGTGGGGGTTTAGAAAGGCTTCTTGGTAGAGTAAATGTAGAAAATTTAAGTAAAAGCTTGCATTCATTGGTATTAATCTCAGAGGAGAGCTCGGTACTGACACACCACTGCAGCTGTTCTGTAGAGTTTTCTACGGTGCTTTAGGGGAATTTTCCTAGGTTGTAGGGCAGGCTGCTGAGGAGTGGGGCCAGACTCTGTCATCGTCCCTCTAGGATATTTGCTTGGAGCCGCTCCTGGCCCTATCGAAGCTGCGTCTGTCTCTTGTGGCTGATGTGGTCAAAAAGGTGCCAACAATGACTTTTTCCTCGACGGTCGCTGTTCAGTTTGCACGGCTGTAACTGTCCAGCAACATTCTCTGGAAAATACATTTATGCTTGGTTTAGGTATTTCACACTTCTCTCCCAAAACTGGACCCCCATTGATGTTGTACATCTCAAGCATCCAGACTGGGCAGGGGGAGGTGTTTCCAGATGAAGAGAGTCTTTTAATGGTTCAGTATTCAAACTGAGATTTTGCAGACATGTTTTCAACTTGCCACTCAGCCATAAATTGCTTACTGGGTGATCTGAGCCAATCAGTATCTCACAGCTTAACAAACCTGGTTGGTTCTTGTGAGAACATGGGTGGGTTGTTTTGAGGAGAGCATGTGTAAGAACTTGAGAAAACATTCCTTCTAGTGTTAAAGTTCTCTTAAAAAATAAGCTCAGGAGACAAATAAACGTATTTCAAGTTCAAATTAGCTGTGCCTAACTTCAGAATGAAGATGGTAATGCTCATAGTGCACTTCATAGTCACAAATTTCAATTTCAAAATTGATGAAGTTTCTCCAAAAGATCCAGAAGCCTGAATATTGTTCCGGTAGTGGATACATTACAGTAGGACAATTAGGGGCAGCTAGGGTAATTTGCTTACACTAAATTATGATTCAGTGCTTTATTGCTATGTTATAGGGGAAACTCCTAGTTTTGATATCATTTTAGCAACAGGTAACACGTTAGTTAATTCTCTCTCACTTCCTTGGTGGTTAATAGAAGTACTTCTTGATGTGTGAATTAAACAGGGGAAATGGTTAACACTCGTATGGAAAAAATGCATCTGATACACAGAGCCAGTACCGTAAGCGTTTTTTTAATAAGTAGCTGCGTTAGTCTGCAAACATCTCGGACAAAGTATTATATTATGACAGAATAATAGTATTACTTTCCATCTTGTTCCATCTCACTACAGTTCCTTTCAAGGATGATGAAGATAAGACTGTGCTGCATCTGTGAGTTGAAGATGGCCTTCTCTGGGTGATCCACAGGATTCTGCTCAGAGCACAGGTCAGAAGACTTTGTGTGGGTTTGAGAAGTAGTTGGTCTGATCTTTTTACTGCCCTTCAAAGTTCTGCTCCCCTTGCTGCATCTTTTAGTGGACTGCATGTTAAACCAAGAGCTTTGGCTTGGCAAATGGCCACAGGGTCTCCAACAACATGCAAGAACAAGATGGGAGGGACTTTGACATCTCCGGCCCTTATTAGCTGTGGATGTCACTCGACTCTCCTACATGCATGTCTTGTAGCAGCTCATATATATGTAAACACCCTTTTTCTAAAAGATTAAATCAGCCTTGGTTTTCTTTAGCTACTCAATAACTCCTGGTTTTTTTTATCAGATATGTCAGAAACAAATATCCTATTGAAGTTGAATAGGCTCACAGTGACACTGGCAAAGGTATTGTACATGTTTTTTCCAATAAATATGTGTGCTACTTTTAGAAGGCAGTGGGATGGGGGAAGATGTAGAATAAACAGTAACCTCCCTATCCCTTTCCCATCAGATCTGAATATGGATCTTATGGTCAAAAAGGAGGGAAAGTAAAATGGAAGCTGGCCCCTTACCTCTTAGTTGGAGAAAATCCTCCACTAAGGTGGGCTGGCTTGAGACAGTGTTTTGTTTTTGATGCCTTGCCAGTCCCAAGGAACAAAACATGACAGGTGATGACAAAGGATTCATTTTGTATTAAAGTTTTCAAAATTCTGAGGGGGGGTTGGGTGATTACCATGGTCCTCCTTTATCTTTTCTCGACCCTTACCTGTGATATGAGGTAAGCTATTTTGTAGCCAAAGTTGGCCAAAGATCATCCAGTGAATTTTATGCTAGGCCTGAGTCTTGAACCCTGCTTTTGCTCTTGAGATCCAGCAGTTTGAATGTATAGACTTTGGAAGTTATTGGACTGCAGTTATTTTCATTCCTCAGCATTGGGTGTGGCTGCTGAAAGTTGCATTCCAAGAATAGTTACAACAAATAATAACTAAGTATTGTAATAGAGAAAAATGTCAGGATAAATAAAAAGATGTATTATCACAAAAAAGGAAGATTAGGAATGCCAGATATTAGTAAATATGTTGCAAACCAACTAAGAGTTATCACAGATAGAATCATATTAAATAAGGAGATAATATGGAAGTATATTGAATTATAAGAACTACGGTATGTCTGTTACCTTGGCAGAGCCAGGCTACAGAGACAGATCTCTCTCTCCCCTCCCCCGCCACGCACTCTCCCCACAAACACACACACCGCATGCACAGGTGCCCTGAGTTCAGAAAAGGTTGGGGACCACTGTGATAAAATATGGAACGAATTTATAAAAGCTGTATTTTGTATACGTAAAGATAAAAAAAGACAAGGAGTATAGGTATTTTCAGAAAGATTTTAGGAGTGGGTAAAGCAGTAGGAAGATTATGATTGTAAGCAAAAGTATGTAAGATATGATTCCAGTATTTTGTGTTTATGTATCAAGTAGGTTTTATGTGTTAGTAGTACCGTGTTTTCCCAAAAATAAGACAGGGTCTTATATATATTTTTGCTCCAAAAAACGCATTAGGGGTTATTTTCAGGTGATGTTTTATTTTTTTTTCATGTACAACAATCTACATTTATTCAAATGCAGCCATGTCATCTTCTGGTTGCTGCACAATGGTGGAGGCAATGGTTTCACTTAACTGGAGCTTATATTTGGGGTAGGGCTTATATTACAAGCATCCTGAAAAATCATACTAGGACTTATTTTCAAGTTAGGTCTTAGTTTTGGGGAAACAAGGGTATATATATTTTGGTTTTGTATTGTAAACATATGGCAAATGAGTGAACATTCTTTTTTTTAATTAGTATTTTGATTACAACTTATACTGTTGTAAAATTAGACTTGTATCTCACTACTTGCAAAGACATCAAAGCTGCCTGCCCTTTCTCTTTTTAGAGCAATTGGGTAGATTTAAAGACATTGATTAGCTCCTCATGGAGAGAAGGTGGCAAATAAGTAAATGCTTGCTATAAATTATGAGATTGCATTATCAATAATTTTAAATAATTGTTCTTGTGGTTGTACAGGAGCGGTGATGCGGACTAGTGAGCTTCTGTTTTTCTGAAGGCGATTCTTGAGGCAAGTGGACAGTGGCAGTGACCTCTTAGGTAATGTAAGATTCTGTTACCAATAGTAGAAAAGGATCTTTATCACTCTTAATTGAGCTGAATTAGGCAGTAGTTCAATAATTGCCTTATAATATCTTTGCCTGCGCTGGGAAGCATGTAGTTGATTGCTTGTGTTGAGTGAAACACCACCTTTGTTTGGTCTGTGATGACTTGTGTTTTTAATGGTGACAGCTGGATGAATCCTGCGGATATGGGGCTGAGACCAAACAGATCATGTTAGTGGGAGAATAGGACATCTGCTTTCTGTTTATTCTGTTTTAGCTAACTGCAGAGTTAAAATTTATGACTGCAAATGAAATATTTCTTTTATGTCTTCAGATACACCTTTGAATTTGCCAAGGATACTGAAGAAGTGGAATTACCAGCAAAGAAGCAGTTGTTACCAAAATGATTTAGTTTTTGTAATTGTATGGAATAAAAACCTAATGTATTAAGATTAAGCGTTAGTATATTTAATGTCTTTATGCACTAACTTTGGTGTGTTAGCAACAACATTATGACTTGCATGTGTAAGAGGAAGAAATGGGCACAAAGGAAGATCTCAACTGAAAATAATGACAAAAATGCACGGAGGGGGGAAGCTCAAAGAGAAATGTATGGTAACCTGATCCTCAGGATCTTTTCTTTAATAAAGCTGCTTGGTAATTACTGCACCAGTAACTAACTTGTCTGTGTGATGATTCTGGTGACAGGGATGGGCAGGCTTCAGGTTTGAGGGGCCCATCCTGGTTTTCCCCCCCTTTCACTGGGGCCTCAGGATTCTCTGTCCAGAGCCAAATGCAGAGGACATGTGGTTAGCACACAGTCTGTGTCTTTTTTAAAGTGCCAGAACTGACCGCTGTTTTACTTCATTCCTGGTTGAGCCAAGCATTTCTCATTTAAGCAGTGTAATCAAGGTAAAAGTCCCACCGTTGCTATGCAGCAGTTGTGATTTGAAGACTTGGTCTAGGACAGAGTCTCCAAACTTTTAACCGTGAGAGCCACATAGGATATTTGCAACATTTTTGAGGGCTGAAGGAACGTGTGCCTCCCATGTGTGAACGGGCTGGATAAAATGGCAAGGAGAGCTGGATGTGGCCCACAGCCTGTAGTTTGGAGTCCCCTGATCTAGGACATGGCTCTGCCATTCAGCCCTGCCCTCAAATATTTTGATGTCTGAAATTTATTTTTTTAAATAAATTGTTAATACTTTCAAAGAAGGGTAAGTCAGATTTATGAAGTTTGCATTGTTCCTGCCTCCCATGAATTTAACTATTTAAATGGCATGTTCCCACATGACTAAAATGCTTGTAAAATGTACAAATTGTGTTGGTGATGAGAATCCTAATTTTCCTAACAGGAAGAGCTTGCAGGTGACACATTAAAATGAATTCTTTAACACCAAATATGTTAATAAGACATTAGAGAAAAAGCAGCATAGACCTCTGTTTTAGAACTGCATATAGATAACCCACAAATTGTCTATAGGGAGGGAAGTGTTGGAAAGGCCCTTGAGGTAACATGGAGCCCTCTCCTGTGGTAACAGCCCATGTGTATGCAATTCCCACTTAAGGACAACCTTTTCTAAGGGTTTTAAAGCAGATAATCCACAGGAGTGGTTTACCCTTCCCTTCTAGGGGCATTCAGGGACTGCCACTTGCTCAAGACCACATAGGCTGTCTTTTTTCACACAAGGCACAGTTAGGAATCAAACTGAACCCTTGACCTGTGCCAAATACCTAAACCACTCAGCTATCCAGCTAGCTAACAATTCCATGACTAAGTTTATTCACTGTTTATTCTCCAGCCCTTTCTCTGTAAGTGCTGCGCCTGTGCCACAGTTGCTCAACACAGACACAACCATTCTCTTATATGTGTGGGTCAAAATTGTGGTGTGTCCCTGATGAAGGCATATTTGGGGTCCTCTGCAGGGGCACAGTAGCTTTCCTAACTTGGCTGGCTGTCACCAGTTCACTCTTCCATCTTCTGTAGCTCTGGTTTCCCCACTTCTCTAGCTGATGTTTTTTTTTTTGTACCCATAGCCACCTGCTCTGCCCTCTCCCCTGAAACACTTCCCCACCACCACCAGCTCATGACCAGTGCTAGCCTTCCTCAGTGGACTCCCATCTCTGGTGGGCTGCTCTTCCTCCTGGTCCCTTGTGGCGCTGGGGATCCCCATGGTGGCAGGGGTTTGGCTCTCACAGATGTTCCTGATAGATCAAGGTTCTTGGCCTCCATGCTGCACCAGCTAGATCACCAAAGTGCCGCTGGTTGATTCATGGGGGGGGGGGGCATGGAGGTTGGCCCGTGCTGCCTCCCCAATCCTGCCACTATTGCATCTCTTAGACTTGGCCCTTGATTGCACTTCAGCTATAATGTTCAGATGCCTTAGTATATAGGTGATATAGTATTTCTTAAAAAGCTCTTCAGGCAAAAAAAACATTCAATGTTGTGGTGCCTTAAAGACAGATACTTTTTATTTATTAGATTTTGTGAATCAAGTCATCTTCCACATATCTACATTACCTGTTCCATAAACATTTATTCTGATTTGTGATGGTAGTAGCTAGAATTAACATAGAACGAGGCTAGAAAAGACCGAAGACTTCAGCACGTGCATGCGCTGAGGGGGGCCCCTTCAGACAGTGGAACTGAGGGACGGTTTGGGTCACGAAATCTCCACTCACTCAGGGTGTCTACTTGAGTGCAGTTTACGCTGCTAAGCAACAGGATGTTGCCAGTCTGCTAGCATATTAAGCCAAAAATTGAAGAAAAATTAAAAGTAAAGACAAAAATTTGGTGATGTACTGATTTTAATGTGAGTTTATTTTGGAGAAGTCCACATCCTAAGTATTTTGCCTGTATCAAAACTGGGGGAAAATATTTTATACCAGTGGTTCTTAACCTTTTTGAAAGAAACGCCCCCTTGAGCCATTGAGGAAGTTATCATTGCCCCCCTCCATGCGGTGATATCTTATTTATTTATTTATTTATTTATTTATTTATTTATTCATTCATTCATTCATTCATTCATTCATTCATTCATTCATTCATTCATTCAAATCCAATGACCCCTGAAAATAAAATTCAATTGCAAGAAAATGAAATGCCCCCAAAAAACAGTAACATTTAATGATTTAGTTACACGTGAATTTTAAGATGCAAAAAGAAATGTAAAAAGGGCATAAAAACAAACGCAAAGGAGGAACTAAAATTTCAAGATAAAAAATTTGAAATTAAATTCAGATTCAAGAAAAATATATATTCATGCACACTATAAAAAGGGTTAAAAATACACAAAATTTACAGAAGGAAAGCAACAAAAATCAGAGCGACAATATATATTGCTCTGTATGGAGCACTTGGAACAGTGTCTAGTGTGGCTGAGAAGGCCAATTTGAGAGTGACAATCTCTTCCACACTGAGGACAAATGCAATCTGTCCTCTGTCCAGCTCCCTGATTTTGCTGCTTTCAGGACTGCCTCTTTGCCTTGGCCTGCTGGACAATGGTCTCTTCAAAATGGGAGAGGCCGTGTGTCCTGAGCACACTCCTGTACTGCAGTGAGTCCGGGACCCTTCATGCACGGCAGGAGAGAAAGCTGAACACGTTCCATATGCATTGTCTCCGACGTATTTTTGTTATCTCCTGGCAGGACAAAGTCCCAAATAGAGTAGTCCTAGAACGAGCTGGAATTTTTAGCATGTATACGTTACTGAAACAATGACATCTACGTTGGCTTGGGCATGTTGTAAGAATGGCTGATGGTCAGATTCCCAAAGATCTTCTGTATGGAGAATTAGTGCAGGGACATAGCTCCAGAGGGAGACCACAGCTGGATACAAGGATATCTGCAAGGGGGATCTGAAGGCCTTGGAAATGGATTGCAACATTTACTCACACAGAAAACAGGGGAAGATCTGAAGTCTGATGTCCCTCAAAGCCATTTAAAGTCGGCCAGGTGAACTTTCTTCCCCCCTGACAGCCAGCCAGCCACAACAGGACAACAAGAAAAGCCAGAAAAGCTGCCGAATTCCCACCCACCCAGGATGACCCGAGCCAGCCCTGTCCCTAGAAATCCTGCCGCGCCACCCCAAACCCATCTGTTTCTCTCCGTGCTTCCCTTGCAATGGGCGGGAAGGTGGGTGGAAAGGCAGGATGGACAAACAGGGCTTGTCTCTCCCTCCTCACCCGGGTGCAAGGCAGTGCGTCACCAGGCGAGGATGGGGACCTGAGAGACCTTTTCCTTCCAACCGATCCACTATTTTCTCTCTGTTTCAATTGGATTAATATTAGGACCAAACTGAAACATGGCAGACCATTTCAACAAATAGCAATTACACCAAGAGTTCTAAAAGACAGCCTCGTGGCGCAGTGGTTAAACCGCTGTATTGCAGCTAAAACTGTGCTCACGACCCGGGGTTCAACCCCCGGTAGCCGGCTCAAGGTTGACTCAGCCTTCTATCCTTCCAAGGTCGGTAAAATGAGTACCCAGCTCGCTGGGAGGGCAATGTGTAGCCTGCATAATTAAATTGTAAACTGCCCAGAGAGTGCTTGAAGTGCTATGGGGCAGTATATAAGCAGCACGCTTTAGAGCAGTGGTGGCGAACCTTTTTAGGCTCGCGTGCCCACTGGGGGAAAAAAATCTGTGTAGCAGGGCGGTGACATTCATTCTCACATGTGATCTCTCCTCCAGTGAGAATTTTTGATATAAAGCTAAAATAAGAGTAAACTGGAATGTTGGGATAACATTTACAAGTCCCTTTATTACTTGTGGGTACAGTTTACCAATACAGTACTAGAGAGTAGGAGCCTAGCCCCATGCCCTATTTGTTCCTGATAAAGACATGGTTCCATCATCCATTGATCTGGGTTAGTTTAACAGATCCACATGATGTTGATGAAGTCTTGAATCAATCCTTCCCCCTTGCCTTCCATTTCATGGTAATTTCCCTTGTTTTAAAAAGGTAAAGGTTCCCCTTGACAATTTTTGTCCAGTCACGTTCGACTCTAGGGGGCGGTGCTCATCCCCGTTTCCAAGCTATAGAGCCAGCGTTTGTCCGAAGACAATCTTCCGTGGTCACATGGCCAGTGCGACTTAGACACGGAACACTGTTACCTTCCCACCGAGGTGGTCCCTATTAATCTACTCGCATTTGCATGCTTTTGAACCACTAGGTTGGTGGGAGCTGGAACAAGCGACAGGCGCTCACTCCATCACGTGGATTCGATCTTACAACTGCTTGGTCTTCTGACCCTGCAGCACAGGCTTCTGCGGTTTAGCCCGCAGCGCCACCACGTCCCTTGTTTTAGGGGGGTCTATTTGTTTGCTTTTTTTGTTTTGGAGCCAGATCTATCGTGCCCATCTGTTCCTTTGTCTTTGAACAAGTCCAGGCCCTAGGTACACACTTGTGTGTGTGTGTGTCCGTCCAACTGGAGCTCCCCAGCCATCATCTGTCATGTTAGCATGGAGCAGGGCTGTCTCTGTAAAGTATGGGGGGAAGGTGGACGCAGAGAAATTGGCCACTTAACCATCAGCAAAGAACATTGAAACATCAGCTAAGAGCAGAAGGAACATGAAAAAAGCTTCCTAAATATTAAACTTGGGAATCTACAAATCACTGAAAAGTGGAAAAATCAGCCCAAGTGAACATTGAGATGGGATCAAAAGCAAGCAACCACC